CATACATACCACACACATTACACCAACACACACCATACACACACACCGTACACACACACACACACCATACATACCACACACATTACACCAACCCATACACACACACCGTACACACACACACACACCATACATACCACACACATTACACCAACACACACACACATCACACACTAAATTATTTTAATTAATTAACTAAATGTCACAACACCGGACCCAGATGCAAGACTGGCACAACTGTGGTTGTCAAGTGGCTTTAACCTGACGCAGGGTGAGCATCTTCCCTGCTGACCACGGCTGAGTGTCGGAGAGAATGCAGGGGGTCCTAGGTCAGGGCCCCTTGAGGGTCCTAGGTCAGGGCCCCTTGAACCTTTAATCCACTGAGACCCCTTTTCACGCAAGAAATTTGCTTTCAACCTCAAGCCTATAAGTATATGAAATAAATATATAAATCAAGCATGCCTTGATAACAAACCATAAAGATACTTTAAAACATATATGGTTGGGCTGGAGAGATGGCTCAGTGGTTAAGAGCATTGCCTGCTCTTCCAGAGGTCCTGAGTTCAATTTCCAGCAACCACATGGTAGCTCACAACCATCTGTAATGAAGTCTGGTGCCCTCTTCTGGCCTGCAGGCATACACACAGACAGAATATTGTATACATAATAAATAAATAAATAACTATTTTAAAAAACATATATGGTGTACATATAATTTTACCATTTGTTAAAGACAAATAGAAAATGTGCAGACTGAGGTGGATTTGATTGCTTGCCGAAGACAAGACAACCTGGAGCTACACGAACTCGACGTTCCACGCTGAGGACTAGCAACAGGAAAATACAGTCTTTGTCTTCCGCCATTAAACCAACATAAGAAACTAGCGGATGGGAAACTCCGTGTGGACAGTAAAAACACCGCAGCTTATAACACGCGATAATCTCGCATCTGAGCCAGGTGTCGGGGCAGCCTTGCTGTTGTCACTGTGAAGCAGCGACACCCGCAGTAGAAAGTGGGGTGTTCTGTGCATTCCGAACCAAGGCCGCAGGCAGCTGCACAGTCAGGCATCTCAGACTCACGCTGCTCTTAAATTTTGCATTTTTTGGTCATTGTATGGTAGAAAAATTTTACTGTTTTCAAAATTCTTGCAACTACTACATTCAGTTATGAGGCCCCATGTCTTTCCATGGGAGCCCAGGACAACACCCAGCCCGGACTGAAAATGTAAAGGCTCCCTAGACGAAGTGACCCTGAGGGCAGAGCAGGTCACCACGGAACGCCAGGCAGCTCACTGAACAGGAGATAGCGGCTCAGAGCTGCAGGAGACCCAGAGCTGGAGAAGGACCAGGGCAAGGACAACAGAGACCCAGAAAGAACAGGAGCACGAGGGGTGACCTTTGACTCTCAGGACAAACAGGGGCTTTCTTTCCTCTCAGACTCCTCTCTCTCTCACCCACACTCACAGGCCAGTTTTGTGACGTTCCCTTGTGCACCCCCAACCTGTGCCAACCTGGGCAGCAATGCCAAGACCAGGAAGACAGAGCCCACTGCCTCTGCCCTGTTGGAAGTCCCGGCTGTGTCCCTGGCAAGGACAACTGCACCTGCCACCACGGCCATTGCCAGAGGTAAGAGTGTACCACCATGCCCTCCTCCCCATCAGCCTCAGCCAGGACAGCAGGGGGCAGGGTGCAAGTCAGCGGGATGTGACCAGTGGGGGAACAAGACAGAGATGACAAGCGTCCTTGGGGAAACGGAAGGGAGGCACAGCTGCTGAATGGCACCTGTGGAGGGGGCCGTTTGAGCATCCTGAAGGTGGCAGAAGATGGCTAGAGGGCAGAGCAGAGAGAAGAGAATAAATACCAGGGCTGCTTTGTATCTCGTTACCTAAAGAGCTACTGGGCATCTCTGCATGGTCACTTCCCGACACAGAACAAGCCAGGAGTGTTATCACAGGACGGTAATCCAAGTAAAGGCAAATGGATCGGGCAGCCAAGGCCGCAGACAGCTAGATAGTGAGCTTTGTGGCTGACCTGAGCCCCAGGAGACCCTGGAGAGAACGGGATAGGGATGAGGGAGATGAAAGGAAAAGAAGGAGAGAGAGGATGTGTCCACTTGATAGGTTCCCCCCTTTGTTTGCTTGTTTGTTTGTTTGTTTGTTTGTTTTTCGAGACAGGGTTTCTTTGTAGCTTTGGAGCCTGCTCTAGAATTAGCTCTTGTAGACCAGGCTGGCCTCAGACTCACAGAGATCCGCCTGCCTCTGCCTCCCAAATGTTGGGATTAAAGGTGTGCGCCACTGCCGCCCCCCTCCCCTTTGTTTTAAGCCAAAAAATAAAAAAAGGCTCAGTGGTTAAGAGCACGGCCGCTCCTGCAGAGGACAGGGGTTTGATCCCCAGAATCTATATGGTGGCTCACAGCCATCACACCTCCAGTTCAAAGAATCCAGCATCCTCTTCTGGCCTCTCAGGCCTCCACAGGCACCAGGCATACACGTAGTGCCCAGACCTACATACAGACAAAACTCCCATACACATAGAAATAATAGGTAAACTAAGTCCTTAGAATGGGAACAGAAGGCAAACAAGAGTCTCCAAGCCAAAAGGGAGATGGTCTTAGGGTCCAGTCAACAAGGCAGGAGGGAAAGAGATGGACCCGTTCCTTTTTCTTTATGATCAGATCCTCCTGTGTGTGTGATGCGGGCTGGACTGGGCAAGAATGCGAGACAGAGCTTGGGGGTTGCATCTCCACCCCCTGTGCCCATGGGGGAACCTGCCATCCCCAGCCCTCTGGTTACAACTGTACCTGCCCCACAGGATACACAGGTGAGTCTCTCCCTATACTGTATACACTCCAGCCTGGAGCCTCACAAACCAAAGCTGTGGCTAGGACCTCTGCGAGGAGAAGTGAGTGTGGGCTGCGGGGGACACCACAGGTGACTCTCGGGACAGGGGATTTTAGGGTACAGGTGAGAAAGGAGATGAAAGGCAGAAAGCAAGAGTTTCAGACTCACCTGTTCGTCCCCTCAGGGCTGTCCTGTAATGAGGAGGTGACAGCTTGTCACTCAGAGCCCTGTCTCAATGGTGGCTCCTGCAACACCAGCCCTGAGGGCTATTTCTGCACCTGTCCTCCGAGTCACACAGGCTCCCTCTGCCAAACCCTTATCGACCACTGTGTGTCTGGTGAGTTCTGTCCTGGATTCTGAACCATAGCTAGGTGCAAGGGCCAGGCAGGCATGTGTGCGTGTGCGTGTGCGTGTGCGTGTGTGTGTGTGTGTGTGTGTGTGTGGTGGTGGTGGTGGTGGCGTAGGACAGGCTCCAAAGCTACAGAGAAACCCTGTCTCAAAAAAAAACAAAAAAAAAAGATATTTTAACTGGACACTGGGGTAGAGGGCATGCCTAGCATCCATGAAGCCTGGGAGTCAACGCCCAGCACCACAGGCGTGGTATTGCTCACTTGTAACCCCAGCTCTCAGGGGCTGGGAGCGGAGGATTGGGAGTCTATCCTTGGTTACATGTCCAGTTGAGAAATGGCTCACAGGGTCAAGGTCCTAGCCACCAAGCCTGAAGCCTGGAGCCCGATCCCAGGACCCACTCGTTTTAAATAACTAACTTGGCAGCAGTAAGCTGTACTGGTGAGCGGCAGACACCTCTGTGCTGCGTGTGACCAAGGTCATAGGCCAGGTTACAGGCATGGAACCCACCCCTCACAGACTGCTCTCCCCAGCCTCGTGCCTCAACGGGGGTACCTGTGTGAACAAGCCTGGCGCCTTCCTCTGCCTCTGTGCCGCGGGCTTCCAGGGGCTCCGCTGTGAGGCGAAGATCAAGCCCCGCTGTGCAGACAGGTGAGCACGGTGTGAGGCCCTCAGGAGGAGCGGGGGAACCCTCAGCCCCCATTTCCTATCCACCTCTCCTTGAGCTCAAGGCTGTCACAGCTCCCCATCCTTTGGTTGCCCCTCCTCCAAGGAGCTGACCTACATTTCCCCACAACCCAACTTGTCACCCCACATTACATGCTCCCCATCTCCCAGACCTTCCTACCACACCGTCTCTGTCTTCTCCAGCCCCTGCAAGAACAAGGCGACCTGCCAAGACACACCTCAGGGTGCCCGCTGCCTCTGCAACCCTGGCTATACAGGAAGCAGCTGCCAGGTGAGGTGCAATCAGTCAGATGTGCCAAGTGGGAGAGGCTGGAGAGCTCCAGCTAGTGGGGTCTTGGGGACTAACGGGTGGGCAACAGGGAACCTGGGACAGATGTCCACACGAAGGGACGTGTGGAAGTCTAGGTATTAGCTTCTCACTTGGGTGTGAGGTGAAGGCAGGAAAGCTGGGCAGGGTGGTGCACACCTGTCATCCCAACACTTGGGAGACAGAGGCGGAAGAATCAGGAGTTCAAGACCAGCCTCAGCTACATGACAAGTTTGAGGCCATCTTGGAGTAGATGAAACCTTATCCCCCACTCCCACCCAACCCCCCCAAAAAAGTCTGAGTGTTGAGGGTAAGCTGGACGGATTTCTGATGCTGGAGACTGTACTGGAGAGGGTATCGGCTCAGCCCACTTGCAAGCAAGTCTTCTTAGAAATGAGAGGGTTTGAGGGAGCCACAGCTGGCAGAGGCTCATCTCTGGGTCTCAGAAGCACAAGCCTTCCTGTCTCATATTCTCTTCCAACCCCCAGACTCTGGTTGACTGGTGCGCCCAGAAGCCCTGCCCACACACTGCCCGATGCCTCCAGAGCGGCCCCTCCTTCCAGTGCCTGTGCCTCCAGGGATGGGCAGGACCTCACTGTGACCTCCCTGTGTCCTGCCAGAAAGCTGCGGTGAGCCAAGGTACCCTGGACCAACTGGGGAGCAGAGTGCTCCCTTGTCCCAACCCCCAGGGCAGTCACAGCAGTCACAGAACTATGTCACAGCCAAAACAACCAAGAGAAACTAGAGCGATTTATTTCACAGTTCAGCACACAGCACACCCTCACACAGGTCTGCTCTGTGACTACAGTCAATACCAACAGCCCAGGGGAGGCTCCAGTTTAACATAGCCACTAGCAGCGTGTCTCACCCGGAGCCATGCAGTCCCACCCAGGCTAGAACACCCCTGGGATGAACCAATAGAACCCAACAGCACCGACATCTCTCCTTCCTGGCCTCTCCATGTCGGCCCCACCACCTGAGAACCCTTCTTAGATCCCTCCCTCCTGTCTGTCTCCCCAGGCGTGGAGGTCTCTGACCTGTGCCAGAATGGAGGCCTCTGTATGGACAGCGGCTCCTCCTACTTCTGCCACTGCCCTCCTGGATTCCAGGGCAGGTTGTGCCAGGATAGAGTGAACCCCTGTGAGTCCAAGCCTTGCCAGCACGGGGCCACCTGTGTGGCCCAGCCCAACGGCTACGTCTGCCAGGTAAGAGGTCTAGAGGGGTAAAACGCGACAGCATGGTAGAGTAGGTGAGAACCGAGTTTACCCAGTCCTCTCTTTGACCCACGCACTCAACCCCCACCAGGTCAGGCCATTCCACCACTACCTCTTTTCCCTTCTGTTATCTCTCTATCTCTCTATCTATCATCTCTCTATATATATATCATCTGTCTGTCTATCTATATATGTCTATCTATCTATCTATCTATCTATCTATCTATCATCTATATCTATATATCTCTCTATCATATCTATATATATATATAATCTATCTGTCTATCTATATATCTATCTATATATCTCTCTATCTATCTATATATCTCTCTATCTATCATTTATATATATATAATCTGTCTATCTATATATCTCTATCTATTATCTATCTATCTATCTATCATCTATCTATCTATCTATCATCTATCTATTTAGAATTCGACCTTGATAGCTACACAAACTTCTACAACCCTGGCCTCTGCATCTGCTCTTCTGATGGTTCAGTCTTCTTCCCACCACCAAGGGGATCTACTAAAGCAGAAGCTGGCCTGTCTCTGTCTCGCTAACACCTCCAGGGACTGCTTCTTCCAAAGTACTGCAGGACTATCTTGAATATCTTCCCGCCTGTCCTCAGGCCACACCTGCTCCTGTCCCGGCTCCGGTCGTTGTCCCTGTCCGTCGTCTCCGCCACACACACACACACACACACACACACACACACACATACACACACACACACACACACACACACACACACACACCGCCATGCACTGCTCACCACTCCAGCTGCTTCTCACACACCCACAGGGGTCCTGCCTTTGAACCCCACGCTCTGCTGCTGCTCTGCCCAGAGCAGCCTTTCCCCCGCCCTCGCCTCTTCCATGGCAGGGTGGCCTGGAGGCACTCGTCCCCGGAGGATGTCCCATGTTTCTCAGAGTTGGAGGAGGGCTTCTGTTGGTCCAGGTTACCATCCAGGAGAGGAAACACTAGGACTAAAGAGCAGCCAGTCCAAATCCTGTGCTCAGGAACACAACGTTTTTAAATTGTGTGTGTGTGAGTGTTTTGCCTGTATGTATGTGCGTGCACCACACGCACACGCGTGCTCAACACCTGTGGAGGTCAGAAGATTCAGATCCCCTGGAGCTGGAGCTGCTGACAGTTGTGGGCCAACGTGCGGGTGCTGGGACTGTTGTGAGCCAACACGCGGGTGCTGGGACTGTTGTGAGCCAACGTGTGTGGGTGCTGGGACTGGAAGCCAGGCCTCTGGAAGAGCAACAAGTGCTCATAATCCTTGAACCCCTCTCCTGCCTCTAAACACGGATGCTTTTTTTTTTTTTTTTTTTTGAGACAGGGTTTCACTGTGTAGCCCTGGCTGGCCCAGAACTGGCTGCAACTAGTCTGTAGACCAGGCTGGCCTCTGCCTCCTGAGTGCTGGGATTAAAGGCGAGTGACCCCGTGCCCAGCAAAGAAATGGTTTTTGCTTGTGTTATTTGCCTTTGTGTTCTTAACTGCTCAGCCGCTACCTCTCCAGCTCCTTACCCCTCCCCACCCACCCTCCCCACTTCCGGCCTTGAACTCACTGTGCTGCTTTGGATGACCATTCACTCTCCTGCCTCCACCTAGTCAGTGCTGGGATTGCAGGTGTGCACCCTACTTTATAGCTGTGGGGATCAAACCCAGGATCATGTGTATTCTTAGCTAGGATTTCTATTTCTACGTGAATGACAATGGGCGCAATGAAGAAACCGAAATAGCCACCTCATGGGTGGAAAGGGAAAGTTCATTCCAAGCTGCAGAGGTTGTCTCCCGGGAAGCAAGAAGTGAGGGGGTAAATAGGAACTGGAGAAGCGGGGGCCTCTGAGCTGGGGCGGGCTTGGGAGTAGGGACAGTGGGAGTGCTGACCCTGACAACAGACACCAGAGTCTACTGAAGGACCACAAGTTCTAGTCAGAGGTAAGGAGACTGACCACCTGCCCTGCCCATTCTAGCAGGAGGAACTTTCTTCAGCCCCTGAGAGAAAGAGCACGACCTTGGCAAAAGGACTTTCTTGGGGGACTGGACGCTGTGGAGTCACCAGAGCCAGGGAACTCTTTTTTGTTTGTTTTGTTTTGTTTTGTTTTTGTTTTTGTTTTTTTGTTTTTTGAGACAGGGTTTCTCTGTAGCTTTGGAGACTATCCTGGAACTAGCTCTTGTAGGCCTTGAACTCACAGAGATCCACCTGCCTCTCAAGTGCTGGGATTAAAGGCGTGCGCCACCACCTGACTCACAGCTGAGAGGTCTACATCTTGATCAGCAGGCAGCAGGAAGAGACAGGGAGCCACTAGGCCTAGCCTGAGTTTCTGACACCTCAAGGTCCACCCCCTAGTGACGCACTTCCTCCAGCAAAGCCACATCTAATCCAACATGGTCACTCCCTACCGGCTTTGGGGGGCCATTTTTATTCAAACCACCACACAAGGCAAACACTTTTCCCACTTAGTTACGTCTCCCAGCATCGCCATATCTAACCCTTACAAACATTTTCAGACAAGGAGAAGCAGGGTGGGGCTAGGGATGACCCTGTCTCAAAAATGAAGAGAAGCGCACTCACTATTCCCCTCCCTGCCCCATGAAGTGCCCTCCACACCTTCCCACAGCCTTTGGAGTCTCTGTGAGTCCATTTTCTCCGATTCCTCTCCGAAGCCTCCCTTCTGGCATGCCATCTGGCACAGACCTTGTAACTTTGCCCTCACAAGCGGAAAAACCGCAGTGTGGCTCTGGGCAGTGCCATTCTTGCTTTGATCCTCACCCCTGCAAGGCCGTGTGGCTTTCGAAAGGATCTTCACCTTTTGGCAAACTGTTTCATTATCTGTGGAGTGAGGATTAAATGTGACGTTTCTTTAGAGCTGCTAAGAGAACCATGTGATACAGATTACACAATCAGATTACACATCTCTCTATCGACCAAACCTCACTGAACCAGAATGAGCTCTACTCTCCCCTTCTGTACTACAGAAGACACTACCTGGCAAGGGAGGTGGGTCAGCCAAGAAAGCACTCGCCTCAATAGCCTGAAGATCTGCATTCAGATCCCTAAAACCTGAGTACAAAGCTGGGCTCGGCAACACATGTCTGTAATCCCGGTGAGATGGGAGGCAGAGACAGGCAGATCCTGGGGAGTTAGCCGGCCAGCTAGCCTGTCCAGACTAACAAAGTTCCCAGCCAATGAGAGGCCCTGTCTCAAACAAAAGATGGAAAAGCCTGAGGACCAACATTGAAAAGTCCTCCGACTACTCACGTGTACACATGCATGTACACACACATATGCATGCATGTCACAAGTAGGTATTCAGGGGACACTTAACAAATCAATGAGAGAGGCTGGAGAGTGAGTTGGTAGGGAAAAGAGGTTTCACCAAGAATGAGGCAGTGCTTAGTGTCACTTGTTTGTGACGAGGGCTGAGCTCTGTCACTGAGGAGTAGCATGTCGTGTTTAAGGCAGGCTGTGAGGGATGAGGGGTATGACCGTTGACGGGGAGGGGCTGTGAGGGATGAGGGGTACGACCGTTGACGGGGAGGCCAGTGGACTACTTGAGCTCAGCTCATCCTGTGTCTTGTCTCTGTGTCTCCAGTGTGCCCCCGGCTATGAAGGACAGAACTGCTCCAAAGAACAGGACGCTTGTCAGTCTCAGCCCTGCCACAACCATGGAACCTGCACCCCCAAGCCTGGAGGCTTCCACTGCGCCTGCCCTCCAGGATTTGTGGGGCTGCGCTGTGAGGGGGATGTGGATGAGTGTCTCGACCGACCCTGCCACCCCACGGGCACTGCAGTGTGCCACTCTCTAGCCAACGCCTTCTACTGCCAGTGTCTGCCTGGGCACACAGGTGAGGCCTAGGGTCTCTAGGGCACAGCTAAGACCGGGAACATCCAGACAGCCCCTCACCCTCTGCCTCCACCCCTCTCCCCAGAGAAGATGCCCCAGCATCCTCTTGCCCACAATGTGCACTGAACCGACTGTGTGTAAGTCAAGACAGAGGCAGTGACTGAAGCCATGTGTGATCTCCAATCTTGCCCCCACCACAGGCCAGAGGTGTGAGATGGAGACAGACCCCTGCCAGAGCCAGCCCTGCTCCAACGGAGGGTCCTGTGAGGTCACAACAGGACCACCCCCTGGCTTCACCTGCCACTGCCCCAAGGTAAGTGCTGCAACCCCCGTTTCTCTCTTCTCCCCACACTGAGCAAAGGTAAGAATGCCAGAGCCAAAACCCTAGGGCGGTGAGCAGGGGAACCTCGAAGGTAGAATAACTGGAGAGGGCCCAAGTTCACCGCGGTTCTCAGAAACAGGGGAAAGGCAGAATCAGAGGGCAGCGCGGTGGTGCAATTTTGCAATTTATCCTCCCTGCACTGGGGAGGTGAGGCAGGAGGCTCAAGAGCTCAAGGTCAGGGCTGGAGAGGGGACTCAGAGGTTAAAAAAGTTCAAGGCCATCCTTGAAGTGGCGGTCAGTCTGGGCTACTCAGGACTATCTCAAAAGAACAAAATGAAACAACAAAACCAGCCCTTCCTAGAATGGCTTTAGACAAGTTCTCTGTGTGTGGGGACAGGCGTGAGTGAGGGCAGGAACTAGCTGAAGCCTCCTTTGTGACAACAGGCTGTACCTTCCTTCATTATCCCAACACAACACTCAGGAGCCAAACCCCTTCCTCTGCTTTGCCTTCCTCCTGTTTACCCTGGGAAGGAAGAGGAGAGCTTGCAACCGTCTCCCAGGACACAGCAAGTGGTCAACTGTACTAGCCAATTAGTCTTCATGGGCCCTGAAACTGAGCACGGCTGCATAGCCCCACTTCACCCATTCCCACCACCATGGATGCTGCAGCTACAGCTACCGTGTGTGGAGTTAGCAGGGGCATAGCTGCAACATCCATTACAATTGACTTGATGCAGCCAGGTGGTGGTGATGCATGCCTTTAATCCCAGCACTCGGGAGGCAGAGGCAGGCGGATTTCTGTGAGTTCAAGGCCAGCCTGGTCTACAAGAGCTAGTTCCAGGACAGCTAGGACTGTTATACAGACAAACCCTGTCTCGAAAAACCAAAGGAAAAAAAAATGACTTTATGCTCTCTGAGGCTCCTCTTGCATATGACAGTCCAGAGCCCTCTGTGCAGGGTTATCCCAGGCGCTTGCTTCAGGAGGACTGACACAGGGTTCTTTTGTATTCTCCTCTCTGGCACAGGGTTTTGAAGGCTCCACCTGCAGCCACGAAGTCCCTTCCTGCGGTATCCATCATTGCCACCACGGAGGCCTATGCCTGCCCTCCCCTAAGCCAGGCTCCCCACCCCTCTGTGCCTGCCTCGGTGGCTTTGGGGGCCCTGACTGCCTGACACCCCCAGCTCCACAAGGTTGTGGGCCCCCCTCGCCCTGCCTGCACAATGGTAGCTGCTCTGAGATCCTCAGGTCGGGCAATCCTGGCTTTCAATGCTCCTGCCCTCCTGACTCTCCAGGGCCCCGGTGTCAAAGGCCAGGGGAGAATGGGTGTAAGGGCCGAGGTGGTGATGGGGCTTGTGATGCTGGCTGCAGTGGCCCAGGAGGAGACTGGGATGGAGGGGACTGCTCCTTGGGGGTCCCAGACCCCTGGAAGGGCTGTCCCCCCCATTCCCAGTGCTGGCTTCTTTTCCGGGATGGGCGGTGCCACCCACAGTGCGACTCTGAGGAGTGTCTGTTTGATGGCTATGACTGTGAAACCCCTGCGACCTGCACGTGAGCCTGGGAATGGGGGTGAGATACGGGCGGTGGGGAGACATACATGGCCGAGCTACAGGATGACCACACTGGACTCCAGGGAGTTTCCATGCTAAGAAAAACCCTGGGTTCCAACCCAGAGGAATGGAACGACTAACAGTGTGGGGCACAGCCTTTGTCTGGACCTCTGAGAGCTCTAAGGTCTCAGGCCTCAGTTTCCCTTCCCCAGACCTTCTGCCACAGAAAACCTCCCCTGGCAACCAGCACTCCCAAGAGAAAGGGTCTTGGACTCTCTTTCTGGGAGAGGGGCAGGATGAAAGGTTGGTCTCAGGAGATGATGTTTGGCCACCATCCTTAGCCACTAGAGAGCCAGAGGTAACAGAGAGGCAGTGAATCTCTGTGAAGAGCCCTGAATCTGTCTCTCCTCTACCCACAGCCCAGCCTATGACCAGTACTGCCGAGATCACTTCCACAATGGCCACTGTGAGAAAGGATGCAACAGCGCTGAATGCGGCTGGGACGGGGGCGACTGCAGGCCAGAAGACGGAGACTCGGAGTGGGGGCCCTCCCTGGCCCTGCTGGTGGTGCTGAGCCCCCCAGCCCTGGAGCAGCAGCTGCTGGTCCTGGCCCGAGTGCTGTCCCTGACTCTGAGGGTCGGGCTCTGGGTGAGGAAGGACAGCGATGGCAGGAACATGGTGTTCCCCTATCCGGGGACCCGGGCCAAGGAGGAGCTGAGCGGAACTCGGGATTCCTCATCGTGGGAAAGACAAGCCCCTCACACCCAGCCTCCGGGCAAGGAGCCAGACCCCCTTGGTGCCGGGTAAGCAGAGATGGAGGGGAGGGCTAAATGTTATTTAAATGGAGTAGGAGAAGGGGAGCAGGGGCCAAAAGGGGGTCCCTGAAGTGCCTCTTCTCCAGGTTTGTGGTGGTGATGGGAGTGGATTTGTCCCGCTGTGGTCCGGAACACCCTGCGTCACGCTGTCCCTGGGACTCGGGGCTCCTGCTGCGCTTCCTTGCTGCAATGGCAGCAGTGGGGGCCCTGGAGCCCCTGCTGCCTGGACCCTTGCTGGCTGCTCACCCTCAAGCAGGGACCAGTAGGTGACCCTACCACCCCTCTTGACCTTTGTGCATGCCATCTCTGGTAGAGATCAAAAACTGAGACCCAAAATGTTGTGTGGGGAACTTGGTCTCCCTAACATCTCCTCTTCGAAATGAATCTCCCCCTAGGACATGCATTCAGTGGTCTCCCTATTGCCTTAAGAACTTTTACTAACTTCTGGCATAGTCCCACGACCAATGTTAGGCTCTAGCTTATAAAAGAACAGTAGCTAGCATACATAACATATCGTATCATATGGCTCTCTAAGCATTTTACCATTAACACGTTTAACTACCTGAGACGGGTGAGGAAATGGAGGCAGGCTACTCCACTGGCCCTGTCTCCCTGAGAATGGACCCCCTTTGTAACTTGTTTCTCTCCTACCAGGGCCACCTACCGAGCAGCTTCCCTGGCCTGTTCTGTGTTCACCAGTGGCTGGGGTGCTTCTCCTGGCCCTTGGGGCTCTCCTTGTCCTCCAGCTCATCCGGCGGCGACGGCAACGGCGAGAACATGGGGCCCTGTGGCTGCCCCCTGGCTTCATTCGAAGGCCTCGGACACAGCAGGCACCCCACCGGCGGAGGCCCCCACTAGGCGAGGACAGCATTGGTCTCAAGTGAGACTGAGGAAGGCCTGGGATTCGGGGAGGGGAATGCCAAGGGTGCTCAGAAATACTGCTGCAGACCTGGAGGGCTTCTGAATGCTGGAGATGCTGATGGGCCCTAGCCTATTTAACTAACCCCTACCTACTCACCCCCTCCAGGACGCTGAAGCCAGAGGCAGAAGTGGATGAGGATGGAGTAGTCATGTGCTCGGGCCCTGAGGAGGGAGAGGAGGTGGGCTGGATGAAAGGCTGGGGTGGGAATGGCATGGAGGTGCATTGGTGGTGCAAAGACAACTCTGTGGCCTACACTATCCCTTGCTCTTGCCCCAAGGCTGAAGAAACAGCCTCGGTCTCCAAGCACCAGGTCTGGCCACTGAACAGCGGCTGTGGAGAGCTCCCACAGGTAGCCATGCTGACACCTCCTCAAGAGTGTGAAATGGACACGTGTGGACCTGGTACACAACCAACCTAGACTCCCTCCCCCCCCAAAAAAAGATCCTAGCTCTGATCCTTTTAGAGGCAAAGCCCACTAGTATCCAAACTGGAGTCTTTAGAACAGCGGCTCTCGGAGCCGGGACCTGGGACAGAACAGCACTATCTGGAGATGTCAAGAATAAACTCAGACTCTCAGCAAGCTGCGGTGCGGAGCAACCTAGCCAGCCCTCTAGACAAGTGCACCTCAGGTCCAGGCCTGGGAGCCTTGGAGAACTTTTTGCTCTTGTTCCTGCTGAACCGCTAAATCAAGAACTAGATGTACTGCTGAATGCCTTTAATCCCAGCACTGGGGAGGCAGAGGCAGGCAGATCTCTGTGAGTTTAAGACCAGTCTGGTCTACAGAGTGAGTTCCAGGACAGTCATGGCTACATAGTGAGACCCTGTCTAAATCCCCCTTTCCAACCCCTCCCCACCCAAAAGAGAGGCAGAGCTTGTCTAATGGCTGCAGTTCTCCCGGCGGCCATGTTGTTATTCTTGTGTTCTTCCATGTGGCTTTGCACTCATTCTCACCCACAGATGGGGTGGCACCCCTGATGTCCTCAGTCTTCTGTGAGCCAGTGGAATCCACGATTGTCCAGGGGCCGTGGCTGGGAAATCCTAAACCCTGGAAACCACTGCTGGATAGAGGGGCCTGCCCCCAGGCTCACACTGTGGGCACTGGAGAGACACCCCTGCACCTGGCTGCCCGATTCTCTCGACCAACTGCTGCCCGCCGCCTCCTTGAGGCTGGGGCCAATCCCAACCAGCCTGACCAGGCGGGGCGCACCCCACTTCACACTGCAGTGGCTGCTGATGCTCGGGAAGTCTGCCAGGTCAGCCTTCACTGGGGTCCCTACAGGAAGTAGCAGTAAGCTTGCAAGTAAAATGGAGGTCTTCTCTAGGGTCTGACAAGGAGGAAACTGAGGCCCACGACTAGACAGGTAGCGACTGGAGAGGGTTGAAGGGCCTACTATTTAATCCCAGCACCGGGGAGGCAGAGGCAGGCACATCTCTGAGTCCCAGGCTAGCCTGGGTGCATAGCGAGACCTTGTCTCAAAACAGACAGCAAAAGCGTGAGGGGCCTGGCCTAGAAGTCCAGGGTAATCCAGGGGTCACAGGCCCTTCCTGTCTCCCCAGCTCCTATTAGCTAACAGACGGACTGCCGTGGATGCACGCACAGAGGACGGGACTACACCTCTGATGCTGGCTGCCAGGTTGGCAGTGGAGGACCTGGTTGAAGAACTGATCGCAGCCCGAGCGGATGTGGGAGCCAGAGATAAAAGGGGTATGGTTGGAGCCGGTGTGCATTCGAAACGTTGGGCAGAGCGGGAATGAGGTGAGGTTCAACTAACAGGCGCAGCAGGGACAGACTAGAGGATACGAGTGAGTGAAACTGGGATGGAAGAAGTATCTGCGGGAACGGGATGGGGATACCCCGGTCCCACCGGTCCAGAACAATACCCATTGTCCCTCCCGCGCGCCGCTGACGTCACCAGGGCAACGCTTGCCGCCTGTCGGTTGCCAAGGCAACGCTTCCCGCCTCTCTGAAAAACCCAAGTACTCGTGTCTCCCCTCCCCCCCGCCCCATCACCAAAGCCAGAACCCGTGGGAAACTGGAACGCAGGAGTCTAGCCCCCACCTGCGGGGTAACCGGCTCCCATGTGGTGCCCTAGGAAAAACCGCCCTGCACTGGGCCGCGGCTGTGAACAACGCCCGAGCGGCCCGCGCCCTTCTCCAGGCTGGCGCTGATAAAGATGCCCAAGACAACAGGGTGAGCCCCTGCCGCAGACGGCCCGCAAAACAAGCCGAAAGCACGGGAACCCAGCAAGCTCGCAGGGGGCCGACCCAGCGTCTGGCGGGAGGTGACTGACACCCAGTGGGCGGGGACTCCCTGACCGTCCCGCCCCCGGGCTTTCCGGTCCCCGCCCCGCAGGAGCAGACGCCGTTGTTCCTGGCGGCGCGCGAAGGAGCCGTGGAGGTGGCTCAGCTGCTGCTGGAGCTCGGGGCGGCCCGTGGGCTGCGTGACCAGGCCGGGCTGGCCCCGGGCGATGTGGCCCGCCAGCGAAGC